TGGCCATAACCCTGTTGAAGATGCCACAGCAGCCATGAAATTGGTTTTGCTGAAGCTGCAGCATGACCTTACCTTTGGAGACACTGTTTTGGGAACTTTGCCCGAGTCTGTTTGGAGAAGAATGAAAAACATCACGTCTGATACAAGTGATATGGTGAGGTTTCGTTTGAGGCTAGAGGATTTTCCTTCCAAATGTTTGGTTCTTATTTCATCTAGGCTCTATTTAGAGAACCCACTTGATTTAAGCGTCCAAAACAAGTACATTATGAGAAATGGACAAGCCATGGCCTTTTTGGGATGCATGAAAAAAAATATATAACTGACCTAGCCTTACCTGAACCTTTGCTTGTATTGAAACTGAAGCTTAAACTGAACCTAACATTAACTGATCCTAAGCTTTAAGTGAACCCAAGCTTTAACTGAATCTAAGCTTTAACTGAACCTAAGCTTTAACTGAACCTTAGCTTTTACTGAACCTTAGCTTTTACTGAACCTTAGCTTAAACTGAACCTAATCTTATGCAGTATTGAAATTGAAGCTCCAACTGCTTATACTGAACCTATGCTTATAATTAACCTATGCTTATACTTAACCTATGCTTACACTTAAGCTATGCTTACACTTAACCTATGCTTACACTGAACCTAAGCTCTTACTGAACCTAACTTAATTATAAATTCAACCTAGAACTCAACCTAACCTAATGATGAACCTAATATGATAGTAAACTTCACCTAATACTAAACCTATTGCCTAATACAGTAATAGCAACCTAATACTGAATCTAACTCAGTACAGAACCCAACCCAAGACCATTCTCCACTCAATACCTTGCTGAATCAATTATCTTACCCGACTTACCGGACCCGACAAAATACCTTACCCTATCGTATGTCAAAATCAATACTAAACATAAAGCCTCCTAAAATGACCATTGATCATTGTAATTCGTTTCCCTTTTTATCGATGTCGAGACGTGGCTTCCTGAACGTTAAAGAAAAAGTAGCACCGATCGAGTAGCCATGAAACAAATTTAAATATTGAGAGAATTTTTTCTGCGCAGGATTTGCATCCCGAGCAAAGCACGTTGGAAATGCTGATGGAACACAAGAAAGCTGTGGTGGTGATGGGGCCGTTGGACATTATGCAACGTTACAGGGATCGTTGTGCAGATCGTGGCCAGGAAAAGAAACTTAATTTGATCAGCTCCAGTTGCCAACCTCGACTGGTGCAAGCAGCTGCAGAAAATGTGAACCAGCATGACGCTAGCGTGATTCATTTGTTGCCTGATAGAATTGCTCTGGAAAATCCGACTACGATCCAAAACTGCAGAAAGGTGACTGGGGTTTTTATTTTTTCCTTCTCTTTTTACGAGAGGCTTTCAAACGTTATCTAACTTTCAAAGAGAACATATAAACGTTGAACATTTTTTTAATGCTGAAAAATAATTCGTTACTTTTATCTCTTTCCATTTGAAATTTTTCGATCGAATTTTATTCATTCGTGAATTGATAGAAACACTGCAGTAATTTATCTTCTTTTGGTCGTTCGAAAAAACAATCGGCCGTGGGGATTGAAAGTTGTACATATCAGTGGCCTACAAAAGCCAGAGAGGAATAGGAGGAAAATATTTTGAATCTATTTTTGAGAAGAGCTTGTTATTTGGCGGGTGAAGATTTCCGAAAAAAACTGTGTCGTAGTTGATTCGCTTTTGCTTCGCTAAATAAAAATTTATTTTGCATTTTAGGTGAAATTGCAGGATTCGTTGGAGAGGATTTA